CGCATCTGCAATTTCTCTGGTGTTGCAGTTGTTTATGGGCGATGGTTTACACTTACTATCACGAAATTTTGATTTAATGTGGGCGAAACCGCGGGGTGGAAATCTAGCAAAATTTAATAATCTAGTAAATAATAAGCACTCGCAATATAGCAAAGGCAAGCACAGACGGAATCGGCTGGTGGGGGGGGGGGTGGCATATTCATTTCAGACATACCTCCTACCCCCTTACGAATGTATGCGTGCGCAGTAAAATCAGTTACAATATTGCATTATCACACATTTTGAATTTAAAAGATAAAACGACAGATTGTTTGAGATTTTTTTTATTTATTTTTTCTTAACCATTTTCCTATATTACTTATTCGGAACCTTTTCTGCAAGTTTGGCCAGTTATTGCAAAATAACCCTGCATATTACAATTGGATCATCTTAAATCTAAATTACGCTACAAAATAGATCCAGACGAATTCGGGGCAAGTCCCTAGTTTTTATAAAACTGAGGTGATGAACTTATAGTCCGTCTTTTTTTATAGCATAGGGTGACAAACGAGTACACAGTCTACCTAATGGTAAGTGGATACTGTGGCCCATAGATATCCACATTTATCCTCAACTAAGGATCAAAATGTAAATGCGTTGTCACTCCTGAGGCCTAAGATGGAATGCCTCGTTTCCAGTAAAAGGGTCTCCGGTTCTATACACTCACCATAAAAAACACAGCAGCATCATGCTACTATTTTACGGTTGTATTCTGTGAGAGCGTGGTCCTGTCCCGATCAAGCCGACCCATTCATGCTACAACCATAATATACCTGCAGCGTGGCTCCACCTCGTAAAAACCTGATGATAAGTGACTGCTGCAGCCCATTGAAACCTTCAACCAACATCACAAATAAGGCTACAACCGCGTTGTCACCTCTGACGATTTAGATGCCTAAGAAACGGCCTGTAAATATACTGGTTCTGTAAAATCCTAGACTCTAGGGCACAAAAGGAACATTAATACCTGGGTCTCAAGACCTATTTGACTTAATTCCTCAAACCAGTCGCTGTGTTGGCGACATGTGGCGCAATTGTATCAAACGGTTTACTTCGCCGTTCGTCATGAGTACAGCATAAGGGTAAAATAATTTACCAGCATCCGTACTTCTATCCGACTATAATGTGCGTGTCTTCAAGGCAAGAGTACGTAAATAAGGCTTTTGTTAAGCTAAACCCATGCGATTTATCTTCGTTTTCTAAAGTTCTTACTATCCGGTAGGGACAGGATTCTTACCATCTTGACCACAAATACAAGCAATTCTCACCACAGCGGTAGGCGATCAATTTATAATAAGAAATCTTCCAAATGAAAAAAAATGAAACGCCAGTTCTTAAAAAAAAAGTAGTAAAATTTACTATTTTATACAACCGACTTCAATATAAATAAAATAAGAACATCATCAATCGAGGTCAATTAAATGTGCATTATTAAGGATAATTCAAAAACTAGGTACTGTTCAAATCGTGATCAAATTTATATAGTACCACTTGAAAAGCACTAGCTTTCAAAGATGAAACAAGATTCATCAAAATCGGTTAACCTAGAAAGAAGTTCTGAGGTGACACACGTAAAAAATGAAGTCGAATTGAGAAGCTCCTTTTTAAAGTTGGTTGAACAACTTTATCTGAAAAACAAAATTAAAGAAAAAATAAAATTCTTACTTTGTGAACCCCGAAGAAGTTCTTCAACCACCATGCGGTGTTAAGCACATGCCCTTTTTTTAATAACAGACTTTTCAATTTCTAATTATTCCAATCAGTGTAATCTTTGAAGTTTTATTAATTTGTAGTGTCGTGTAGCATTTTATATAAATTAGGTTCTATTCCCGCAAAAAAATTAGAGAAAAGAAATTATATTCATCCAAAACCCTTTCAGGTATACATATAAAACATAAAATAATATCTTGACTCTAAATTACATTCCAATCATTAGAACCTCTTTATATTTTATTATTCTAAACTTAAGCATCTGCATTATTTCCATAATTTTAAAGTTCGTTGTAAGTATATTAACATAGTTTCTATTTTATTTACGTCTGCCTACCTCCCAAGCAACAATAGTCTTGAAAATATTTCCTCTGTAATATTTATTCCATTGACGAACACCATTCATTTCATCGTAGTCACAAATCAATCGTCCTAACGCTTAATAAATATTCTTCTGGCCATTTTAAACGACGCGGCTAAACTTGAATTTCAAGCGACAAGTAATTAATACAAATATGTTTACCATCTATAGCGCTTTATTTGGGACGTTTACGTCTTAAATGAAGTACCTATGTCCCTGAGAATTTTTGAAGAAACAAAGCTTATACAGAATTATTTTATATATAAATAAGTTAAAACTTTTTTACTATATTTACGCTTATTCATTTTTAACTCACGTCTAGTTTATTTCGCACCTTTGACGTTGCTCGCAGATGCCGGTGATTTTGGTAAATTATTTCTATTCACGAATACTACACATTGAATGAAAACTATTATAATTATATTGAAAACTAATATAATGATTTCATGAATTTTAACGCAGTTAATTTAAATATTTTTACATTTGTACATTTAAATCGAGTGTTTTTGAGTTACCGTTACAGAAACTTTTAAAAAAAATATTAAAACAAAACAAAAATATTCTCACGTTTCTTTTACTTGACTTTTGGTTAACCCACAGTTCATGGTAACCCTAAACATGAATGACGTAATTGGATCCCTTGATACGTTTCGCAACATATTGCGCCATTAGAAAGCCGAGGCCGTCCACGTAGGTTCCTGTTGGCATGCCTTAAAAAGCACGAGAAAAATCGCGGTTAAAATTCCCGCCACGGCCTCGCGTGTCAGGAATCCAAGTATTAATATTGTTCGGTAATTGTGCGACAGAACTAGGTCGAACGTGATTGTTTAGTCAAATTTCGCAGGACTGTCAATTATGATTTACTCATTCCAGGATATTCATTCCAATTTTATTTTATTACATTATACCAAAATGAACTTTCAACTTCCAACAGCAAGATCATCTATAAGGCTTCATTTTCAAGTCGTAGATATTGTTAGTTTGATCATATGATAGTAACGTACTAGCCTATATACCTACATCTTACTACGGTGCACAGTTCTGGTTCACAAAGTTTTAATTTTAGAGTAAAGAAGAGTTTGCCGACTACCTAATGCGAATTGGCAGACTTCAAATGTCCTCAAAATGTTTTTATTATTTCATAGACATGTAGGGAAACAATAGTTATATTGGAAGAGGCTAAGCTCTCGCTGTAAGTTTCTTAGTACGCGAACAACCCGTGTTCAATTTCCGCTGGCAACAATGCAATAGTTGAAACTTCTTGAGGAAACCTGAATGTCTAAAACATAAAAAAAAATACTTCGAAGACATGTGAAGCCCGCCAACACGCATTGGGGCAGCGCAAAGAAGCCTATATGGGCTGTAACTTTAACTGTACCTACTTATCCTTTCTTTAGACACCTCAGAAATCTTAAAATTATAAGCAGTTGAATAGCTGGTCGTGAACGATGGTTTGCATTACAGTTAAACGTGGTAGAGCTACGCTGCAGCTATATATTATGGTTGTAGCACGAATGGATCGGGTGGACCGGGACAGGACCACGTACTCACAAAATACCAGCGTAAAATAGCAGCTTAATACTGCTGTCTTTCGTATGGTGAGTGTAGAGTACCGGAGACCCTTTTTACAACTCATCTGCGTTTTGGTTCGTAATCGAGGATAGTTGTATGACTAACAATGTCTATGGGCCACAGTGTCTACTTACCATCAGATGGACTATGTGCGAAATTGATCTCATTCAAACTCTATTTTGTATTACGTCGGCTTTCTTATTTGGGTATTTCTCATTTTAAGTAAAAATATTTGTGACTGAGATTTATTTCTATGTTAACATAACGCACATGGATTTGATATATTTATCAAGGTTATGTTACCTATTCTGGTGAAGTCTACACGAAAACATACTCATTTTATTCTGTATATTTTTTTAAATATAAAAAAAGCACGAAAATGTCTTTGCCGTGGATGTGATTGAAGCAAATTTACAGATATAATATATTTTTTCGCGTTATTTTCCGTAAATTTTCTTAAATGTAGGATATTATCGTAAACTCTAATATATACATACATGCGAATAATTTTATAACTAAATGATAAAAAAAGAACAAAAAACCTAATTACAAAATGTGACAGCATTTTTTTTTCACTTCCAAGGATGCAGGTCACAATAAGTTTTCACTTATAATAAAACGTGCGTGTATCCGAATTTATCTGTGCATAGACAAAGCGACACCTGTCATAATCATAATTAGTTGTCAATTTCCTACCGGCTGCATTACGTTTGGCGTGAAAAAGCAATTAAATTACTGATTTAAAACTCGTCAAGCATACTAATCACTACTGTGGTTGTTTTGACAAGTAAGTATATTTGTCTAATTTACATTTTGTATTGCTGTTTTTGTAGGTTTGATGGTCCATAAACGATGGCCAAAATAGGTTGTTAAAACAAGATTTTTGAGGTTAGTTTTCCGCATTTGAATTAAAATATTTCCTTTCCATGGATGTCACTTCCATTGATTACGTGCATGTTTTTTTCCATGGAAATGACCTCAGATCCAGGGATGTGAACTTTAACTTGAAATGATTACGGGACTTATTTCTTTAGCTTCTTTCTTTGTTTATTACAGACATATACATCCACAAAATGCTTTTTAATACATGTTTAATTATATATATATATTTAGATGGCGAGAAATATAAATACCAAAGACAGATAGATAGAAATAGGTAAACATAAAGAGATATTTATGCGAACGAAGACGAAGATCTCGTATTATAGCTGACCCAGACTTGTCAGTAAGAAAAAAGTAGACTTGAGCCAGTAAAAAAAAAGATAACCAGCGTTATGCAGAAAAACGACGCAAAAAACAGGTAAAACTAGTGTCTGAAATGACTCCAAGAGAACGGCGTGCTAAGCAACGTGAATGGCGAGAACGTAAAGCTAGGAGTAGACAGAATAAAAAACGCAATGAGCGACTAATACAAAATTTGCAAGAGAATACATCCATTGCTGATGACCAAAACGTAGCGAGTCCTTATTTTCAAGAAAATGTATCTTCCCTTTCTCAACCTATGTCTCCTGCTTCTTCGATTTCCAGAAGGTCGTTTCTTAGTCCTGGATCGTCGTTCTCCAGAGAAGAATGTCACACACCTTCTCATAGCTCCAACTCAAGTAGACAAAAAGTAGCTGGTCTTCGATATGTCCGAAAACGACGTGAAGAGTCCAATCTCAAAATAAAAATGCAGGCAACTGTAATCAAATCAATAGAATAGAAAATCACGCATTACGGGTACAATTATTGAGGCCAACCATAAAATCCAGGATATTTCTAGTCCGCCGAAGAAACTTGCTACTAAACAGATTGTTACAAAAAAACTTAAACGGTTGCATTCAAAAATTATTGCCTTCTTAGAACGTGATGATAACAGTAAGCAGTGTTCGGGGAAAAAAGATGTCATCACCAAGAACAAAATGAAAAAACAAAAACGTTACTTGTGAAGCACTTGTGGTAGGCGAAACTTAGTCTTGCAACGTTTTGCCGGATGCGTCCTTTTTGAGTCGTTTCTCTTCAAGTTTCTGAAAGGTTTCAAAATATGCAACTCAAGTTCGATCATTTGAATCACTTGAGAATTTTTAACTCTACAAACTTACTTGTACAAAAGCATGGTTTGTGATATCAATAAGGAGGCTTGCATGTTACGTAAGTTTCATGTTTGCCTGAATAAATCACCTGAAGTACAATCTTTTGATGGTTCGGAAACCACTACATACAAAACGTGGTGTGTCATAAAAGAAAACCGATTGATTAAAGGAAAAGAAAAGGATATTAGACGAACAGTAAAAGGGCAGAAAACAGTTACAAGAAAAGAGCTAGTAGAATCGTTCTTAAAAGATTTAAAAATGTTTCTAGAGCATCAATTTAATATTTCTCATCAATACAAACAAACCACCTTAATGAAGAACAACCTTGTTGATGGAGAAATCTTTATGCAGATAGATTTTTCCGAAAATTATTGCTGTAAATATGCGACTGAGATTCAGTCAGTCCATTTCGGTGCTTCTAGACAGCAAGTCAGTCTTCATACTGGTGTTTATTACTATAGATGTACAGATACGCAAAAAGTTAATAGTTGTTCATTTTGCACATTTTCTGAGAATTTACGCCACGATGCAAGTGCAATATGTGCTCATCTTCAAGAGATACTAGATCTAATTGTATCGTCACGTACAATTCAGAAATTGCATATTTTAAGCGACGGTCCTAGTGCACAGTACAGAAACAGATACATGTTCTATCTGTATACTCAATACTTGGCAAAGAGATACAGTTTAAAAACTGTGACGTGGAACTTCTGTGAAGCGGGCCATGGCAAAGGGCCCATGGATGGAGTGGGTGCCGTAATCAAGCGTACCGCAGATCGTATTGTTTGTTGCTCAAGGGTCAGATATACCTGATTTCAATACACTTTAGAGGTGTATTAGAGAAAACACTACCAATGTCATAATTTCAACCGTAACTACGAAACAAATTGAAGAACTTAATAAGCTATTGCAACGAAAAATCAATTGTTTTCTGGAATCACAAAAGTTCATCAAATGACATGGGACTCGCACATGGCGCAAAAAATATGCCGTCGCTTATTTTTACGAAAATTAACATGCCTGACATGCGCTTCCGGAGAACGGTGTCTACACTACTCGTTGCCCAACAGTTATGTGGAATTTTCTAACCCATTGCATATTTTTGAAAGTCTTGAACTGGAATCGGAAACTGAAACGCCGCCGGTTGAAGTAAACGAGGAAAACTTAGATCGGCGGGAAGAAACAGATGAGAGAGATAGCGAAGAACAGGAGGAGGAAGAACTGGCTAGTGAGACTGAAGAACAGGAGGATAATGAAATGGACAGTGAGAGTGAAGAACTGTAGGATAGAGAACAGAATAGTGAGGCCGAAGAACAGGAGGAATGGGAACCGAATAGTAAGGCGGAAGAACACCAGGATGAGGTACTTGACAGTGAGAGTGAAGAACAGGAGAAGGATGAACTTTATAGTGAGACTAAAGAACAGAAGGATAATGAACTGGATAGCGAGACTGAAGAACTGGAGGATAGGGAACGCGATAGTGAGACCGAAGAACAAGAGAATTGGGTAAGGCGGAAGAACACGAGGATGAGGTACTTGACAGTGAGCGTGAAGATTTTAAACATTATTTTTATTATAATTACTGGGGCTGAAATTAGATGGTGCTATAAGTGTAATGTTTTTGATCTCTTTAGTTATTACGATTAAAAAATATACAGGTTTATATGTAATTTAGTTTGGACCGGATCAGTATATAAAACTTTTACTATGGAACTAAGTGTGAATTCCATAGATATTCAGCAGATCTTTTTACGCGATTTCGAACTTGATCTCACAATCAAAATTGTTCGTATAGACGAGTAGTATCATCCCCAACTATCCACACTAAATTAAAAATACCCCTGTATAATTAGCTTTAAAGTCAAATTCAAAGCAATTAAAGCTGATTTTTCGAACTTTTGCTTGTTTTGATTAAAATAAATCCAATATATTTATCATTGTGTATCATAATTTCTTTGGATAATATAATTTGTGACTTCATATTTTATAAAGCATATATAGAATGTCATGTCTATGTTGTGAAGTCTTTTCCATGGTAAAAGAAATTGTGCGAAAGTCATTTCCCTGGATCCAGTGTCATTACCATGGAAGTGCGAGATTTTAAAAGGTATTTCTAGTGAAACTAAAAAGACGTAAGCTCGGTGCATATTTTTTATAGTAGATTATGGCCTAAATTATTGATATTTATAGGTATTTCATGTAAAATTCATCTAAATGATTCTTTTTTGTTTTCGTCATCAAAAGTTAAAAATACCCAATTATAAAATAAAATAAGTTTCTCTGATAATAGACGCTCACTATTGTATTTTTGCCAGTGACAAGTACAGTAAGAATTATCTTTTATAAGAATTTGTTTTAATTTTTTTTACAATATCAGCAGCTAGAGCGAGCTCAAGGCGTCTAAGCAGCACATTCTCTTGAGGTTCACATATCCATCGGAACATATGTTTCATCCATTCCACTAATTGTTTACGTATCAAAATCCACTTCAAATCATTATTTAAACATTAATAGATACAGGCGGAGCAATCCGCTGGCAATCAGGTTCCCACCAAAAATCTTAAAATTGGATTAGTCTTTCCACTGTTTGAACATTTTCCTGGATGACCAAGGTTTTTTTTGAATTTGAAACAAAAAGCGTTAAGAATTATTTTCAAACTTTTCAGTAAATAATATTGAGCCTTTCTTGCCAGTGTCAAGTAAGTTAGTAAAAAGCATTGCCACTACGTTTTGACAAGGCGCTTGTATGTATTATACGTATATTATGCGCATTGTACATATCTCAGAATGGTTATTTCCTATTTAATTTTGGGATATTTTTGTATATAGAAATACAGAAATATTGTCTCGTCTCGTTGAACAACGTGCCAAAAAATAAGAAAAAAACCCACAAAAACGCCCCAAAAAAACCAAAAAAAAAAAAAAAAAAAAATTAATATATAATTAAAATAAAAAATAAAAAAAAAAAATATTAAATAAAAAAAAAAAAACTTCCTTTCCTTTTCTGCCCAAGGGACGTGAGGTGTGTGTTTGTTTTTTTTAAAACTTGAACTGTCTGATTGAAACGTCCCACTGCTGCGCACATGCCTCCCCGCATTTCTTAGAAGGTTTTAGGGCAAGGAAATGTGTGCCGCGTTGCTCCAATCCGTGTTGGCGAACTTCACATGTCTCATGTTTCCTTACGATGTTTTCCTTCACCGCCGATCACGTAGTAAATTAGCACTTAAAATTCCAATTAATAATTTCATTGGTGCCGGCGGAGATCAAACCCAGTTTGCTAGCGTACTGTGAAATCTACAGCGAGCGCTAACGATGTGAGCTACCACGGCTCTTGAAATGAAATATGGGATCATAAAATAAATAAGACACAGAAAAATATTAAGCATTTTACATTTTTAACATAGCAAAAGGAATTAAATGAAATTTCTTTAAGGTAAGAAATTAAATTTCGTTTGTAGGTCGCATTGACATATATTGATTGTTTATATCATTACACCCCATTTCACCCTCTTTGTGTTTGTTTATTCCAAAATCCCTTCTTAGTAGATGCTCGAACAGATTCCTAGGTCTAGCATTACGGACTGTGCATTGATAGATGAGTCAGTTAGTTGCTCAGGATATCTTCTTTTAAGGTAAGGAATCCATTCAATACCAGAATTAAAAACCAGGCATTATTAGTAAGATGGGACTGTTTATGGTGCAAGTTTGTTAGAAAACTTATCTATACAAGAGGAGGGATCATTAGAAATTCTTTTTTTCTTTTGCTACAGGCCGCTGAACATCTTGGTCCAACCAAGCAAGGGAAGGATAATTATTTATGGATGGTTTTTTTTTAAAGTTTTATTTGCAGAAAAAAAAATTGTTATAAACTCTGTATATGTACATATGTGTAAACTGGAAGAATGCTATCCTTGTTAACTGGATGAGTAGCTGAAATCTCTTGTTCTTAAACCGATCTGGGGCAAAATAGAAAATTCATTCTAGTTGGATTATAAGGAAGTGATGAATATAAGGAAGTAGTAATTTTTATGGCTAGAGAGTAATATTTGCCACAATAGGAGGATATTTATCTCAATAGGAAGGAGACAAGTTTGGGGGAACAGAGATAGGTAGATAGGTCCGCGGTGTTTTTAACATTTTGTAATGGGGATACTCGACTAGTAGTTGAACTATCAATAAGATACAGAGGTAAAAATCATCATTCATTACAGCTCTTCACAAATCCACTGCTATACATAGGACTCCCCCAAAGACCACGATCCTGAGCCACCTGCATCCATCTACTTCCAAAATCATCAATAATATCTAAATACAAGGGAGCCAGAGAATTACAAAAATGAAAACTCCAAACAGTATGATCTCTATATATAAAAATCAACTGCTATCCGTTATACTCGCAACAACTCAAAAATTGCACGACCGAAATCGATGAATTTTTTGTGTATATTTGAGATGATCCCTGGATGGTTCCAGTGCCGTGGTAGCTCAGATGGTTAACGCTCGCTGTAAATATAACAGAACGCGAGTAATCCGGGGTCGATACCCGCCGGCACCAATGAAATTGTTAACTGCAATTTTAACTGCTGATTTTCCACGTGCTTGGCGGTGAAGGAAAACATCGTGAGGAAACCTGCATGTCTGTGGAATAAGAAAAAAATATTTCGAAGACATGTGAAGTTCGCCAACACGCATTGGGGCAGCGTGGCGGACATTTCTTTGCACCAAAACCCTCTCAGAAATGATGAGGGGAGGCCTGTGCCCAGCAGTGGGACGTATATTGGCTGTAACTTTACTTTTTTTACCTGGATGGTTTAAAAACTCAATTGGACCTGGTAGGTGGCGCTAATGTCGAGATCCAGAAATCACCCGTACGAAACCGAGGCGAATCGCTAGTGCTTAGTAAAATCTCCTAATGCAAACATAGAAAAAGACAGATAAGAAATAAGTGACGCAATTTCTGTTAAGACATTTATTAACATTAGGATGAGGAATGTAAACAGAAAGAATAGAGATCGCAATACAACAGCAAGTTGCAGAACTATGACAATGGACAAAAATATGTGAAAATGTTACTGTTCTTAAAATTGGAATAGAGGTTTTTTAAACGTGGTAGAACCGCACTACAGCTATACTATTGGTTGACCGTGGAAGCATGCTCTCACAGAATACCACTTTCGTATGATGACTTGTGAGTGTAGAGATCCTTTTTTACTGAAAACGAAGCATTCCACCTTAGTCCTTAGGGGTGACAACGCATCTGCGTTTTTGTTCATAATCGAGGATAAATGTGGATGTCTATGGGCTACAGCATCCATTTACCATTAGGTGCACTGTGTGCTCGTTTGTCATCCTTATTCTATAAAAAAAATTAGAATAGAGGTAACAGCACGTCCATAACTCCTATTATCCCGGACGCATGTGTAGCCTGAAAGCCTAAAATGAATAGCATGAATGAAGGTATGAAATTTATAAATGAGATAAATGAGTTAATTTTTTTATGCACCGACAATTTCTTTAAAGAATTGGTGTGACTGTGTATATTACGGGATTAAGAAGAAATCTAAGTGTCTAGTGTAAATAACATATAAGTCCAGTATCATTTAGGCGGAATAAAAATGGAAATTAATTAGTCAAAAATATTATCATTTGGGAAAAATTGTATTTTGCTCTATTAAAGCACATCCACTAGATAAAGAAGGGGAAGGGGTTACAAAGTGGATTCAAGGAATGTCTTGGAATGAATAAAGTTTTTCTATTGTAAGAAGATTGGGACGAAGAATTTAAAAATGTAGAAGGATCACTTTGTACAGTATTGCGTTTTAAGAGGGCATCACAGTTGCATAATTTGCAGTAAAAAGGCTAAATGCTCAGCTAAAGTGCTTACGTCAGCTGCACTTTTAAATTTAATAGACATTTTGTTGCGTCCTACTCATTTGGCACCATCGCAAACAATATTGAGGAAATGAAAGTGACCAAATTTAATGGGGTTTAGTACTGTTTCAGAAGACAAATCATTCGTTAATTTACTCACATGAGCTTTATAAGGTGAAGCATCGTGATTAGAGTATATTTAGACTTTTTGACGTGAAACATCTTTAAAATCACATTGGTACATACGGTTACCAGGTCAAAAAAAGTGAACCGTAACAAAGAGGTCTATATCGTCTTGCCTTAATAATTACAAAACTGTTAGCCTTAGAGGCCTAAGAGTCATTATTTTACTTATATAGTGAATTCTTACGGCCTTGAGCTTGCATCAGAGTCGGGCGGTTTGGTGAAGAAGGAGCAACGCACAGATCGACTAAAACCGGCGCTCTCACTTCTTTCTAAACTAAAAGAGACTTGCTGACATAGACGTTTCACGTTAAACCAACAGCCTTGACAGAGCCCCACCCGATTTTTTTCTGAATATAATCAGAATGAGTACCGTGTAGTGGCGGTGTAATAATATCCACTACTTCAAATCATCCAGTGGGTGTCGTAAGAGGCGACAGATGGAAACAAAT